CCCCGAGCGAGCGCGTGGGGACTGCCATGCCCACTGGCATGGTCGCATATGCTGGGATGCTGGGCCCCCGATCGGCGATAGTTCAGCGCGGAACCTTAACACCTTAACGGCCAAAATGGCTACGGAGGGGACGGGGACGGGCAGTGAGCGGCGTGGGGCGGGGCGCCCAAAAACGCAGGAGAGCCCACAAACGCACTTGACTGAATGCCTGGTCTTTCAGGCCATGGTACACAGGGCGGGCCCCCCGAGGAGGAGGAGGAGGAGGAGGAGAAAGGACCCGATTGGGCCCCAAGAGAGGCACCCCAATAAAGTCCCTCAAGAGGCTGTCTTGAGTGACTTTTGCCTGAGCCCCTATTGTGCTTTTGTTGTGCCTGTTTCTTGCCCATTCCAGGGCCGTCTTGGAGGCCTCTAAGGGCCGTCTTGGAAGCCTCTGTGAGCCGTCTTGGAAGCCCCTTGGGCCGTGGAGACCGTATTCCCGAGGCCCCGCGAGCGGGTCAGCCCGGTCAGCCCTCGATTGGCGGTTGCTTGACATTCTCGGAGCTGTGCATATCACTTACATGCGCCTTATGCCACGTCGGGCCCCTCGACCCAGCGAGACCACGAGGGGGCCCCGCGCGGGACAGTGGCGGACACGTTGGGGGCCCGAGCGCGGAGCAGAGGCAGGCGCACGTTCGAGCCAACGTCGCGATACCGCGGGGCACCACTGGGGAGGGCAGCTGCGTACAAAACAGATGGGGTAGGGGACGTGCTATATTTATAATATCCCCCCCTCGTCGCGCCGCCCCCCCTGCCGGCTGCGACGACGCTCGCTGGGGATGGGTTTGAGGAGAGACGTTGGGGAGGACGAGGGGGAGAGGAGAACGGTGGCATGACGTCGCTGGGCTCAGCCCTGCTCACCCTCCTCCCCCCGCTGCGGCGGCGGCTCGGCAGCGCGCGGCCGCGCGCTGCTGCTGGGCGGTGCCTCGAGGTTGTCGACGACGGCCCAGGCGGCGCGGCGGGGGCGGGGGGCAGCGGAAGGGCAAGGACAGGGGATAGAGGGCGAGTTGAGACAACGATGGGCCCCATCGTCGCCGCGGCTGGGCACAGCTCGGATGACGGGTGCGATTGAGGGGCCCGAGGTCAGACGTTGATCCGCCCTCCTCGTCGTTGCAACTCGCCCTGGTCCGACAAGTGCACGGGCGAGCGAGCGCGAAGGCAGTGAGGGGCATGACTCCACGCTGCAAGTTTCTCACCGCACTGCCCCACCGAGCGTGTTGCATCACTCGGGCTCGCAGCGGCGACGACGCGGCTGGGTCGCCGCGCAGCCGCGCGCGCTCGTGCCAGCAACGCGCAGGCGTTCACCAGCACGAGAAGAAAAGCTGTGCAGCTGTGCAGCTGCGGCAACGCGCCACCGCGCCGCCACGTGCACGCGTGCCAGCAAGGCGCAGGCGCTCACCAGCACGAGCAACCTAGTTGTCACGACACACACTCGTGAGTGCGCGAGTGTGTGTGTGTGTGGGGGGGTCACTGTAATGATAGGGAACACTGTGCACGCTGCGGTGTGAACGCTCGTGGGGGCCGCACAGGCTATACATGCACATACATGCGTTATCGGATACACCGCGGCTGGCACGCGACCTCGCGTGGTGTGGAACGTGCACGATGCAACCTCAAGTACCAAGGCATGACCATCGTGCGGGTGCGTCGTGCAGCAATCGCCCTCCTCACAACTTCCTGTTTGCCCGTGACAATTTGCCCGGAGGGGCCCGGGCCACCAGGGGCCGCTTCGGGCCCCATCTCGAGGCCCACGTCATCAGCAGCATCACCCCCAGATAGGGACATGGGGCATCATTGTGAACATCATGACTGGCAGCGAGTGGGTGGTTGGACAGCGCCGATGGCGCTAATCTAGCGCACAGTGGGACAGCGCGCACACGCTCAGTCGAGCAGCTGCACCCGCGCGTGGGCGCGTGGTGAACCGACGCAGCGCGCCCGACACAAGCTGAGTCGCGAGTGCAAGCCGACGTCGCGCGGCGCCATGCACGAGCGCGGGCAGCGATATCGCGCGTTGGGCCCAGCGCACGGGGGCGTATACATCGTCCACCGCATCGCCTGGAGAGAGTCGGCCCCAGCGCGCGGTTGGACCATGTCACCCGCATCAGCTGTTGGGGACATTGTCCCCATCATCATGTGATGGGGGCCCTGTCCCCAGCACCACACGCTGGGGACCCCATCCCCAGCGCCATGTGCTGGGGGGCCCGTCCCCAGCGTCATCCGATGGGGACCCCGTCCCCAGCACCATATACTGGGGACCACATCCCCAGCACCATCTGCTGGGGACCCCGTCCCCAGCATCATGGGCTGGGGACCCCGTCCCCAGTGCCAGCTGCTGGGGACCCCATCCCCAGCATCATGGGCTGGGGACCATGTCCCCAGCACCGACTGCTGGGGACCCCGTCCCCAGCACCATCGACTGGGGACCCCGTCCCCAGCACCGACTGCTGGGGACCCCGTCCCCAGCACCATCTGCTGGGGACCCCGTCCCCAGCACCGACTGCTGGGGACCCCGTCCCCAGCAACGACTGCTGGGGACCCCGTCCCCAGCACCATCTACTGGGGACCCCGTCCCCAGCACCATATGTTGGGGACCCCGTCCCCAGCACCGACTGCTGGGGACCCCGTCCCCAGCACCATCTGCTGGGGACCCCGTCCCCAGCACCGACTGCTGGGGACCCCGTCCCCAGCACCATCTACTGGGGACCCCGTCCCCAGCACCGACTGCTGGGGACCCCGTCCCCAGCAACGACTGCTGGGGACCCCGTCCCCAGCACCATCTACTGGGGACCCCGTCCCCAGCACCGACTGCTGGGGACCCCATCCCCAGCACGATCTACTGGGGGTCCCGTCCCCAGCACCAAATGTTGGACCCCGTCCCCAGCACCGACGGCTCCCCATCACCGACTGCTGGGGGGCCCGTCTCCAGCACCATCTGCTGGGGGCCACGTCCCCAGCGCCATCTGCTGGGGGGCCCGTCCCCAGCATCATGCGCTGGGGACCCCGGCCCCACCGCCATCCGCTGGGGACCACGTCCCCAGCATCATGTGCTGGGGGGGCCGTCCCCCGCATCATATGCTGGGGACCTCGTCCCCAGCACCAGCTGATGGGGACTACGTCCCCAACATCATATGTTGGGGGCCATGCCCCCCAATATCATACACTGGTGACCCCGCCCCTAGCGCCATCTGCTGGGGAGGGAAGGCTCGACCACATCATCACATGATGGGGATCACGTCCCAGCGCACGCTGGGTAGGAGGGCGTCCCCAGCACGCGATGGAGACCTCGCCGCCAGCGTCCGATGTGGCGTGGGCGCGTTCCCATCACAATACGTTGGTCACGTCCTCAGAGCGTGGCGGTGGCCCGACCGCAGCGCCAGCTGGGGTGCCACCCCCCCGCCAGTCGCCGAGCGCTGCACCCCAAGCACGGTCGGTGGCATCGGCCCCGCCCGCGATCAGCCGCCTGGACGCAAGTCCTCAGCGCGAGGCGCGGTGCGCTGAAACGGCGGCTCACAGGGGCCGCACAGCCGCTCGTTCACATCATTCGCAGCATTCGAGTCCCCGACCACAACCATAATCATGATCATTGTCGTCATCAAGGTCAGCTTACTCATCATCATGAACGGCATCGTACTCAGCAGCGTCGGCATCGTCATCGTCATAATCATCACCATCGTACGCACCATCAGCCGCACCGTCCGCACCATCACCATTAGCATCATCATTGCAACCATCGTCATAACAATGCCTAGCATTACCATCTATGATATATTCATTGATCATCATCCTGGTCCCCCTCCACGGCCCGCCACCAGGCGGCGCGCGCACACAGCCAGCGCGCTGACTGGGCAGGCGCGGCACCATGACACGGCTGGCACCGGTTGGCGGTTCACCCGCAAAACACGCTTATGCGAATCGTGCATGCTGCGCGGGGCGATCTCTTGCAGCCCCGAAAAGGAGCGTCGCCAGGGCACCTCGCGTGCCCATCAAGCGCGCGCACCACATGCACACATTGGCCCGCCACTCAGTCCCTCCCAGCGCGGCCGACCACTCCTGGCGCGCCCGAGCAAGGCGCAGCACGGACGTCGTCGTGGGACAGCACACTGCAGGATGCGGAGATGTGGAGGAGGAGGATATGTGCACGGACGAAGAGGTGGAGGGGGAGATGCAAGGGGAGTTGGGCGAATAGGCAGGCACATGGGAGCAACGTCAAGAGGAACAGAGAGGAACAGTGAGCCAGGGGTGGTGGTGTCCGCGTTGAACCCGCCGGCGACGTCGGCGTAGTTCACGACGCGGCTGCCGCCAGGGGCCTCGGAGACGGCGTGGCACAGGATCTCCCGCAGAGCACCAGGTCCTATGCGCCGGCGCGCGGCACAGGCAGGGGGCGGAGAGGACTGGCTAGGTGGCGGAGGGCGGGCCACGACATATGTAGCCTTGGCCGCGGCCGCCCTGACGGTTTCGACCGAGACTTCCTCGCACTATGGCTTCCTCCTCCTCCGCCTCCGCCCCCTGGCATCCCCCTCCTCGCGTGCGACCAGACTGAGCCCCGCAGCATGAGAGGGGGGGGCAGTGAGCGAGCGAGCTCAGTGGGGGAGTGTGTAGACACTCATATGTGTGTATGTGCGGAAACATACATATATCTGTGTATATAGGTATATACATACGCATACAAGAGCGACGCGTGTGTGTGTGTGCATGTGTGCGCGCGTGCGCGGCATGCATTGGATGGCGCAATGGACGCTCGGACACTCCCGCGACCAGTCTGCCAGACTCTGACGAACGCGGGACTTGGCCTGCAATCTGGCTTGAGACGATAGGAAGAGAGCTTGAGGGTTGGATTTGGAGGGCTCAAGTGGGTGAAATGGATGAGGGGGAGGGAGGAGGGAGGGAGGGGGAAGAGAGAGAGAGAGGGAGGGAACGATGAAGACGAGGTATGCGATACGAGTGCGACTGAGCCCGGCCCCGAGACGCGGCCGCTGTCCTGCTGCCGCCGGTGCAGCTGGCGCAGGCAGCCCCGCGGCCGCCGCCTGGATCTGGCACGCCTTCGCAGGGAGAGGAGCGAGGGAGGTTGGCGGAGTGGAGAGGGAGGCGGCGGGGCACCTGCCTCCCCCCATCCTTGCCTCCCCCGCATCCTTCCTCTTACCGCCACCGCCTCCTCCTCCTCCTTCTCCTCCTCCTCCTCCTCCTCCTCCTCCTCCTCCTCCAAGCATGGCGTGGCCGTTGAGACGACCACGCCATCCTCCTCCTCCTCCTCCTCCTCCTCCTGCTCCTCCAGACTCCTTCTCCTCCTCCTCCTCCTCCTCCTCCTCCTCCTCCTCCTCCTCCTCCTCCTGTCCTCCTCCTCCTCATCATCATCCTCCTCCAAGCACGACGACGACGACGAGACATGCCCTCGTCTTGTGAGGGCATGTCTCGTCGTCGTCGTCGTCGTTCATCGTCCATCGTCATGCCCGACGTCGTCGCCGTCGTCGCCGCCGTCGGCGCGCCTTGTGCCAGTGGGCGAGGCACACAGGGCAGGCGCGGCTGCGCTCTGGCGGAGGGTCCCCAGCGGCCCTCGCGGCAGCCTCTGCTGCTGGCCCGCCCAGCACGTTGTCGCGGCACCCAGCGCACGGCTCGACGTCCAGCGCCAGCGTGTCCACCGAGATCTCCGCGACGTGGTACAGCCGAAGGGCGCCCGCTGGCACGTGGGGGCGCAGGTCCGCCTTGGCCTTCACCATCTGGATGCCCACGTTGCCGATGATCGTGCGAGTGGCCGCCAACTCCAGGGCCGCCCGAGTCTGCGGGGGGCAGTACACGACGCGGCACTGCGCGTCCAGGCGAAGCATGCGCCCAACTGGGGCGGCCGGGTTCGCGACGTCGCAGTGCCAGAACCTGGGCCGCTCGACGTCGCACTCCGACGCGTCCACGTCGGCGTCGTCGTCGCCCTCACGAGCAGCTCCATGGGTGACCCCAACCAGCAGCGCCACGTGTTTGGCTGCGAAGGCGCGGCTGCCGAGGTGGTCCGTCGCGGCCTGCAGCGTCACGACGACTTCAGCGGCCCACTTGGCAAGCATGGCGTGGCCGTTGAGCTCCACGCCTGGCTGCAGTGGAATCGCCAAGGCCCTCGGGATGGCCAACTCCTCGGCCACGTGGAGCATCGCCTCCATCATGTACGCTGGCTCGTCCATCGCGAGGCCGCTGTGGCCGCCCTCGGCCTCGGGCTCAGCAGCCGCCGCGGCTGCCCCGGCCAGCTCGCCTCCTGAGGAACCGGAAACCGCACTCGACACGCCGCATCGATCCCCCCTCGCCTCGCCTCAGGCCCCTCCTCCAGTGCCTTGCTCGCCTACCTTCCCTACCCCGTCTCCGCCTACCCCCCTCACTCCCCCTGCGCGCGCCCGTCTGGTCCCGAGAACTGCTGCTGACACTGATGGCATGGGGCATGGGGTGGGTCGGGTGTCGTGGTCGGGCAGAAGGTGGGGGGTGGGTTCGGGATTGGCCGAGTCCTCCAGCGTCGTCCGCCTGCTTTGCGGCACGCAGAGCCCGAGCTTCTTCGTGGGCGGCCTCGCGTGCAGCGACAGCAGCGTCGCCCGCCTCGGCGTCGGCGACGTCGTCGCCGACTTCCCCGTCAGCCTCGCTGGCCATCATGTTGGTGAACAGGTCATCCATCAAGTCGCGCTCGTAGGCGGCGTCGCCGTCGGTGCCGTCGTCGCCGCCATCGCTGTCGTCGTCGCCCTCGTCGGGGTCGCCAGCATCGCTCTCGTCGGCGCCCCTGGGGCGACGCCCTCGCCGCCTGTGAGCCTCCGTGAAGTCGAACACGGGCGCCGCGGACTGCGAGACGAGATGTGCCGACGCAAGGGTGGGGCCCTGCCAGTCAAGAGGCCTGCGCTCGATGGTGACTGTGGAGCCCGCGCGCCACCGGGCGACCAGGTCGTGCATCCTCGCTGTCAGCAGGCCGAAGTTCATGGGGCGCGTCACGGCGAAGGTAGCGTCGGTATAGTCGCTGCCGCCGTCGCACTTGACGCCGGCCACGGTCCAGACGCGGTTGGCGCCCCTGCCGAACTTCAGGGCGACGATCCAACCACCCCGCGCGACGTCGCCTGGGCTGGCGACCGCGAGGACGGGGGGGGGGCTGACGGCTCAGGGATTATAGTCGGGGGACAGCAAGGCAGCAAGGGTAAGCGACCGAGCGACCAACGATCAGGAGCGGTCGAGGTATCGATCTCGATCGATCAGGTTGTCTCAGAAATCACAAAAAGGGCGAAGGGTGAACTCATACCGCACCCGATGATCAAAAACTCAAACACCAGCAGTGGACGAAGGGGTTGGTGCCGTTGGTGCCCTCCCGTAGCCTGCTGGAGAGGTAACAGTCACGACAAAGGCCCAGTCGGCGCTCGGGTTGGCGACGGTGGCCCCGCCGAAGTGCTGCTTGAATCGGCCGAAGATGCGGGTCAGCGCCATCAGCTCAGCGTCGACTCCTGCAAGGGGGGGAGGGTGCGAGACTGCGCCCACCAGAGGGAGGGGCTTTGTGGCTTTGGGGGGGCGGGGGACTTGTGTAGAGGGGGAGGGGGAGAGGGCGGGGGAAGGATGAGAGGGGAACCTGGCTGCACTAAGATGGAGGCAGCGGCGTGGAGGAGTGCGAGGAGACAGAGATCAGGATGAAAGAGGAGGAAGAGCAGAAGAGCAGCAGCAGTGAAGCAGTAGCGGCAGCAGGTGGAACGGGAGGGTGGGCGTGTTGCTTCGGGCGCCGAGGGGCCTCGGCCCCGGGGCCTGCCCCTTTCCCCCCATGGAAACGTTGAGCCACCCACCGAATGTCCTGCTGCTGCCAGAGCGGCTGGGGCCCCTGCGGCAACGCCCCCCTCATCCTCGGGCTGGCCAAGGCTAAGCTCCCCCTCCTCCCGAGGCTGCCCAGCGGCAGCTGCAGGCGCGGGGGCTGCGGGTGCTGGCAGCGGCACTGGCGCCGCCGCAGGCGCCGCGGCCTCCTCTTCCTCGCTGGCGGGGGCGGGGACGATAACACCGTCGCCGGCCAAGTAGGAGCGGAACGCCGCAGCTCTCGCTGAATCCTGGACGGGCGGAGGAGATGAGACATGATGTGGAGGATGAGCAGGAGGATGAGGAGGAGAAAGGAAGGAGGAGGCACGAGGCGGAGGAGGAGGAGGGAGAGGAGGGAGAGGAGAAGGGGGAGGAGAGGAGGAACGTACGGATGAGAGGCCGTGCCATTATGACGATGGCGGTCGCGCTGACAATGACGATGACGAGGCCGAGGGAAGAGGAGGAGAAGGAGGAGGAGGAGGAGCAGGAGCAGGAGCAGGAGGCGGAGGAGTTCAGGAGGAGGAGGAGAGGAGACACAGAGTGAAGGATGAGAGAGGAAGGGGGAGGGGGAGGAAAGAAAGAGAGAGAGAGAGATTGGGAGAGAGAGGGAGAGAGAGAGGGAGAGATGGAGGAGGGAGGCGAGGGAGGGAATGGGAAAAAGGGAGGGGAGATGAGAGGGAGAGGCGGGAGAGGGTTCAGGGGGATAGGTAAAGGGCGGGAAATGCGTGGAGCAAGCGCCGAGTCCTGCAAGACCAGCAGCGCGTTGTCGTAATCAGCCACGCACTCCTGGATGAACTCAGCCATGCGCCTGCGCTTGACCAGCGCTATCGTCTTCTTGTTGACCACCCGGCTGTTCAGCAACTCCAGCTGGATCCGAGGCGCAACCAACTGGCAGTGGCGGATGATGCTGTTCATCCCCTCGATCTCCTGCGTGTCCAAGGGCACGCGCTGGAAGATACGCCACACGAATTCGTGCACGTTGGCAGCGATCTTGCCGCGAGTCACGAACGTGTGCTGCAGCGCGTCGGCAAAGATGCTGGCGAACTTCGCCTGGAACGAACTCGGCATGGCGCCGCCCTCGCGGAGGTGGATCAACTCCTCGGCGATCGCAGCACGCTTGGACGACCGATCATCCGGCGGCGACGCGCACAGCCATGCGATGGACAATGGCAGCGACTCGACCTTGTCAGGGGCAGCACAAGGGGAGCGGCTGGGTGGAAGGATCAGAGGGGAGGGAGGAGGTGAATATGGGAGGGAAGGGGAGGAAGCGTGAGGATGGGATGGGCACGGAATGAGCAGTAGAAAGAGAAAGCAACGCACAGTAAGGGGAGGGAGGATACGTGGGGGCAGAGTAGTACCCTCCTCAACCCTGTCCCTCCAACCCGCGTGACCTTGGCAACGACTCGCATGTTGAAGTCGGCGGCCCCCTCGAAGACCAAGATCGCGGCCCCTGATCTCGCTCTCGAGCGCTCCCCAGGATGATCGGAGCAGTAGCCCACGATGGCGTTCTGGATGGCTGCGCTGTCCAAGAGGCGATCGTACATCCCAGCGATCTCCGCGGCCTTGGAGGTCACCAGCATTTGCGTGGCCGACTCCAGCGGTGGGGGATCGCCAGCCTCTTTGCGGTCCCTGGCGAGCTTGGCCTGCTTGTTGAGCCAGTAGCACAGGCGCATGATCGGCTCCTTGACGAAGTGAGCCACGTGGAGCTTCTGCCAGAAGATCGGGTCATCGATGTCGATCATGACCTGCTTGAGCCACATGCCGAGTTTCTCGCGGTACGTCTTCTCGTCGTCGGGGTCCTGCGGGTTCTCTGGAGCAGGTGCCGCTGCCGCTGCGCCAGGAGCACCGTCGCCACATGCGTCGCCGCGGCCGCGGCCCCTACCGCGACCCTTGCCTGCGGCCGCCCTCCGCTGCATTGCAGCCGTGACCCGGGAGTGAGGCTTGACGAGGGCCTCGGTGAAGGTCAGGCGCAAGTCCGTCTGGCCGCAAGCCAGCCAGTGCCGCTCGTTCTCGTACACACTGCACCAGCGGCCAGTCAGCGGCCTCGGCGGGAGGCTCGAACAGACCTCCTTGGCGCGGGCAACGCTCACCAAAGTCTTCCACGCGCGCATCAGTTTGGCGGGGTGCCCGGCGCTCCTCCAGCAATTCGTCAACTTGGCAAGAGATGAGAAGTACGACG